AGGCCTTGGATCGCACGCCGTGTGTGCGTGCATGCCGCGCGCCCCCTCCCCGCTCGCCCAGCCCGCGGGGTCCCTCCTGCGCCCCAGCCCTCGCTGGGCAAGCACCAAGGCACCCTGGGGACAAGTGGGACAACACGGGGGTGGCCGGTGTCCCCTCCCCGGGATGGTTTTTTGGGCAGCTCTGTAGAGGGGCCCTGGTGATGGCCCCACCTCAGAGAGGAACCGGGAGGCCCAAATTGTTGTGCAGCTGCTGCCAGGCAGGGAAGCCCTTGGGGATGGCTCCCCTGGGGCAGGCAAGGGACCAAGGATTAGGGGGGGGGGGTAATCCTACTGCCTCCCTTATTTCAGCCCCCCCTAAAGCATCGCAGCCCCTGCTGGGCCCCCCGCGCCCAGGGCATTCCTGGGGAGGGGGCTGGGAAACAGGTGTTTGTCAACAGCTCCCGCCACATGCGTGAGAAACACCAGGCCACGTCTAGCCCCGCCGCTTAGCAACACACACACACAAAAAATTAGAAAAAATAATAAATAAAACAGCAACCCCCCCCTCTCCAGGACCACCCCCTCCCCGGCCGCCACGTGCTGGCACGCGTGCGGGGAGCGGGGCCGGCGCTCGGCCGTGCTGCGGGGCTGCTGCCTCTGCCCAAGATGGCTCCCCCGTCCTCCTCCTCCTCACAGGGGCGGCCATGCGGAGCCGCGGCGGGCTCGCTCCCCTCCTGCCTCGCTGAGGGGAAACCAGGCTCCAAGAAATGGGCTGTGGCCCCATAAGCTGGGACCTCCGCGGGGAGGAAGGGGACGGAGCCCCCGAGCTCAGCCCCGCAAGGCTTTGGTGGCCCCACGAGGCTTGGAGAAGGGTGGGCGATGGTGGGAGCTGAGGGAGGCAGGAGGAGGCCTGGAGAAGGCCCGGCCGCCCTACAAAATGGCTCCTGCCTCGCCCCGGGGCTGCTGGCGGGGTCTGTGGGGCTCTGCTCATGAAGGAGGATGGTCCACGCCTGCCACCAGCCCCGCCGGCCTCAGCTGGCACCGCCACGGGGCGAGCCCAGCCCGAGCCCGGGACTGGGTTTTGAGCAACAATAATGACGATGATATACATAAAACAACAACAACAAAAAACAAAACCCAAATGAGGCCGTCCCGCCAGGGTGGGAACGTCCCTGCAGAAAGTCTCCTGGCCTTCAAGATAGCAGCCTGTCCCCAGGGGCCATGACCGCTCCCGCGTGGGGTTTGGCGGCTGCGGCGGGGTCCCTGCACGGCGGCTCCCTCCTCCCCAAAACACGGCTTGGGAACGTGCCCGCTCCACGAGCCATGCCAGCTCCTCGTGGCTTTGATCTCGGGGAGGCACATGGCGATGGCAGCCACCGGCTCTCCCAAGACTCATAGGGACGAGGACGGGGACCGGCACCCACCCCGCTGCTTTCCCCGGCCGGCAAAAAAGGGGGGACCCCGGTGCGGGGCGGCCCCAGCACCCTTCCCCCAGTGCGGCTCCCAGGCGGAGACGCTGGATCCCGACAAACCAGTTTGACTCAGCACAACAGGAACAGCTACAATTTTAAAAACATGCAAGTCTGTGATTCAGATTGCTCGGGCTGTTTTAATTAAACGCCAAGCTCCCCTCCACTCCAGCGAGCAGCAGCAAACGGCTCACGGAAAGAAAATGCAACCAACTGGTTTCCCCGAATATCTCTCGCAGTAAGTCATCACAACAAAACAGGGAGTTTCGGTTCATTCCTTCAAAACCAGAGGCCGCTATTCCCAATCGCGGAGCCCAGGCAGACGCGGCCCCGGAGCTGCGGCCGGGCGCTCACCGCCTCCAGCCCGCGGCAGGGCTGCGTGCCGAGGAGAGGCACGGACAATGCCTGGCTGCAGAGCCCCGGCTGCGAGTTCCCCCTCTCCCCGACCGGCCGCATGCTCTGCGTGACACAAAGGAAAGCCCTTCTCCTCCTCCCCGCCTCGAGCACGGCCGGGGCGGGCTCCCACAAACAAGAGCTTTTTTTTTGGTGAGGAACGGGAGATTTAATGAATCCAGCGAGCGCAACGGAGCCCCGCAACCTGCTTTCCCCTCGCAGCCCTACCCTGAGCATCAATAAAACAGCAGGGCTAGCTTCCCCGAATCACCCTGCCGAGAAACAAGCTGTTTCGGTGAAAAGTAGTTAAACAAAAAGCGAGATCTCCCCGCCAAGGAAATACCTGGTGGCTCCAGCACCGGGGGCAGCTGAGCAGCACGGCACCCGGCGTGTGGTCAGCCCGGGTAACACTTGGCAGGAGCCTGGGAGCAGGGAAGGGATGGCGCCAGATGAGGAAAAGATCTATAAATCCTCCTGATTTGGGTATTTCGCTAAAGCCTGAGTTGGATCGGGGCTGCACGCAGCAAGACACTGCCTCTGCTCTGGGGCTGATGGAGGAGTGCGTGGACAAACCCCAGAGAGGCCGCTCAGGCAGCAGAGGGGCACAGAGTTTGTTCCTCCCAGTGCCGGTCCCAGCCCACCCAAACCCCCCATGGGGACAGAGCCACCCGGTGCTGCCCAGCTCCCTCTTTTCAAGGCGTTTCAAGGCCCAAGGTTTTAACCCAGATGGATGGCAGGAGCCTCGAACACAGCACTCGCCCCGCGCTGCGGCTCCCCAAGGGGCCTCGGCTCCCGCAGCCCTGCCAGGCCAAACTCTGCTCCTCGGCTCCAGTCCCTGCACCGGAGAAAGGATCTGCTGTTGCCCCTGGACAGAGCATTCCTTCTGCAGCCGGCCCGGGGACTGCTGAACCGGAGAAGAAAAACACATTGTGACTTCAAACAAACCCAGCGCACTTACAGGATCTGGAGAGAAACCATTTTCTCCTCGGCAGCACAAAGCCCTCACTGAGCCGCTGCCGAGCGCGGCTCCCCCCCACCCCCGTGGGGCCTTGTAAAGAAACCCAACGCCGCGCCGTGCCCCCGAGGACGGGAGCTGATCCAGCCCCGGAGCCGCCAGGACCCTGCCCTCGCAGCCGGGCACCGGCCGCACGCCCGGCCCGTCACCCCCTCGGAGGGGACGGCGAAGCGGCCGGATCCGGGGGCCGCCGGCTGCTGTCGCCTGGAGGACGTGAGCGCAGATTTATGGCCTCGCCAGATTTATGATCAGCACTAAAATACCCGGCCGAACGTGCACGCTGGATTTACAGGGACCGCTCGAGCGCTCCGGTGCCCGTCGGGAAGCAGCGGTGCGAGCGGGCAGGAGCTCGCTGACCCCAGCACCAACAGTGGCTTCCTAAAAGCAGCGGGGACAGGAACCTCAGCAACTTTCCCTCCAGGGAAAGAGAGCAAAGGGAAAACGGGAGGAGAAAAAAAAAAAAAAAAGGAAAAAAAGAAAACAAAAAAAAGTCCCATGGGAATCAGGGCCAGCCCCCAAAACACCGTGCGGTGCCAGCCAGGCCCCGAAGCGTTCCCCCGTGCTGGCACGGCGCTGGGCCCCGACCTCCTCAGGCACCGCGTTTGTTCCCTGACCCCTTCGCACGCTCGGGAAGCCAAGAAAACCCGGCGGCTCCTCGGCACGAGCTGTTTGTTTTCTCTCCATCCGGCTCTTCGCGCCAGTTCACGCCCGGGCGGCGGGGGAGAGGCCGGGCCCCAGCCTCCCCAGGGAGCAGCGGGACAGCCCTGGCCGATGCTCGCGGTGCCCTGCCACGCCGCCACCGCCGCCTTCCTGCCCCCTTCCCAAAGCGGGGGCGGCGAGCGGGTGGGCGAGGGGCTGCCCAGGGGCCGGGGGCACGCCGGGGCGCCCTCCTCGCCCACACCTTCATCCTCCTCATCCTCCCGTCCTGCTGCCTCCCGGCACGGCGGTGCCCGAGCTGGTGTTGGCAGCGTCCATGCCAGGCTGGCTTCTCCCTCCCCTGCGCTCCCGGAGCGAGCAGGCCACGAATCCCAGCTCAGTTTTTCCTACGGCGTACAAAGGAGGATGTTTTTTTTTTTTTTTTTCCCTTTTTTTTTTCCCACCCCTTTGCCAAAATAAAGAGAGAAAAAAAAAATAAAAATCAAATCCACTGGGTAGAGAGGGAGGGGGGTGGGGGGTGGAAGGAAAAGCAACACCCGTAAAGAGCCGCCCCCAAAGTTTGTAGGGAGCCCAGCCCTGGGGGGCTCGCTGCCCCGAAATGGCAGCGGGGCAGGGCTCCCCTGCTCGCAGCAGCCCCCCAAACCCCTACCCAAAGATCGCAGCGGGTGAGGCGCAGCCCGAAGCCGCCTCCGAGCAGACAAAAGCGGGGTCCCCCCACCGCCGGGGCAGCCGGGCAGCTCCGGGGCTCGCCGCCGAACCGCGGAATTCTCCTTCCCGGAGGAATTTTTTTTATTATTATTATTATTTTTTTTCTCCTCTCCTTTCCCTTCCCGGCCCGGGGCCTCCCTCAGCCCCCACCCCGCCACCTCCGGAGCTTGTGTTACCGGACACGGCGCAGACTTCGTGCCCAGCCAAACCCCCCCCCGGGGCCCCCTCCTCCGCCCCGGGACCCCGGAGCGGGGCCGTGCAGGGCCCCGGGGGCCAACCGGGACCTCAACCCGCGGCTGGGGGCCGAGGAACCGTCTTGATCCCGAGCTCTGGGCAGGGCAGGGGGGGTTCCCCCTTCCTCCCCCGGCTCCGGTAGGGATGCGCCACGCGTGGCCGCTCTCCCCGGTAGCCCCACGGCGGAGCCCGCGGGGTTAAACCGGCTACCGGGGGAAGGGATGGAGCCGGACACGGCGGCTCACGGCCACTCCTCCGGCGGCCCCGGCTCTTTTGGCCCGCCCGGGCGGCAGGGCTGAATTTTCCAGCCCTGGGAGAAACCGGGGGAAGGCGAAACGAGCGGGCAGGGCTCGGCGGGGCGTTCACTCTGGAACCTACCGAGGGCGGCGGAGCTTGGGAGGGGGGGGGCTGGGAGCGGGGCTGCGGCGGCGGCAGCGAGCTCCGGGCGGGGACCTTGAAGCCGGAGCCGAGCGGAGGCGGCTCGGGGAAACCGAACGAGCCCGGGGGCACCCGGGGGGGTCCTCCCGCGGGGTCCCGGTACTCACCCTCGAGGGCTCGGCGGCCGGCGGGGAGCAGCAGGAGCAGCAGCAGGAGGGGGAGCAGCGGCGGCGGCGGCGGGGGGGCCCCCGGGCGGGCGGCAGCGGCAGCAGCAGCGGCGGCCATGGCGGGGGGCGGTGCGGGCGGCCCCGCCGGGCAGTCCCGAGCTCGGCGCCACGCGGGGCTCCTCTCGCCGCCGCGCCACGATCGCGCTCTGGCGCCGCCGCCGCCGCCGCCGCCGCTCAGCCGCGAGGGGCGGGGCCCGGCCGCCAATCAGCGCCCGCCCCTAGCAACCCGGCGGCCCTGGCGACGCCGAGCGCGGCGCTCATTGGCTGGAAGGGGGGAGGGTGGGCGGGGCCCTGGCGGAAAGATGAATGGAAGGGGTGGGAACGGAGCGAGGCCACGCCCACCTCCACGCCCCTGGCCACGCCCACCCCAGCGCGGGAGGTGCAGGGCGGGGAGCGCGCCCCACCCAGCGGCCGCGCGCGGAACTGGTCCTTAAAGGGGCCGCGGCCCTGGAACCAGGGGGGCTGCTCCGAGCCCCCAGTGCGGGGCAGGGCGAGGGGTGGTGGCACTGAGGGTACCCGGGCACCCCCGGTGGCCTGTACCGCCAACCCATCCCGTCCCGTCGCATCCCATCCCATCTCACCCTAGCCCATCCCACGTACCCCATCCCATCCCATCCCACTCCACCCTATGATCCCCTTCTGTCCCTTCTGACCCCATCCCATCCCACATACCCCATCCCATCCTATCCCATCCCACGTACCCTATTCCGTCCATCCCATCCCATCCCAACCCAACCCAACCCACCCCATTCCATCCATCCCATCCCATTCCATCCATCCCAACCCAACCCATCCCATCCCACTCCACACTATGATCCCCTTCTGTTCTTTCTGACCCCATCCCATCCCATCCCATCCAATCGGTCTTTCTATGGTCCTTTCCCATCACATCCATCCCATGCTGCTGCATCCAATCCCAACCCGTCCCATTCCATGTACCTTAACCCTTTCCCATCCCATTCATCCCATCCATCCCATCCCATGCACCCCATCCCATCCCATCTCGCCCTATCCCATCCCATTCATCCCATCTCACCCTATCCCATCCCATCCATCCCATCCCATCCCATGTACCTCATCCATCCCATCCCATGTACCCCATCCCATCCCATCTCACCCTATCCCATCCCATTCATCCCATCCCATCCCATCCCATCCCAACCATCTATCCCATCCCAACCCAACCCATCCCATCCCACTCCACCCTATGATCCCCTTCTGACCCCATCCCATCCCCATCACCCCATGACTCCCACCGCAGTGACACAGCTCACTCTTGGGGTCCTGGCCAGGGTGACAACACACACAGGACCCTGCCTGGATCCCCCATTTTCCACCCTGTTTCCCCCCTTCCCCACCTCCCATGGGAAGCGGTTCCCCTGCTGACAGCCACAGGGAGGTTTTGGGGTCCTGTGTGGGGTTGCGACCTGTCCTGGCCCTCAGTGCCAAGAGGGAGAATTCACCACGAGGGGCTGCTTGGGGTTGGGGAACCACAAGGATGCGGGGCTGGACCTCTTGGGATGTGCTGCAGCCACCCCAACACCGCTGGGGCTGCTCCCCCCCGCACCTATATGTCCCCTCCTCAGATGCTCAGTGGTGCCCAAGTCCCTGATTTGGGGGCATTTTGGTGCTGCCAGTCCCCAGGGCGGCTGGGAGCTCTGTCTGTAGGGCAGCACGCAGCTGGGTGTGTCCCCCCCCCCATGGCACCGCCATCTGGGCAGCCCCCGGCACCATCTGCAGGCAGCACCTCGCTGCTCGCCGCCCCGCAGCGGCGCTCCCTGCCCCAGAAACCTGCCCCAGAAACCCGCTGCAGCTCCCGGCCACCTTCCCTGCAGCTCCTGGTAGGAGTGGGATCTCGGGGGAGGGTTTCGGGGCCAGCCACGGCTGTACTCTGCCCTGTGCTCAGCCTCCAGCATGTCCCGTGTCCGTGTCCGTACCACCTCCTCCTCCTTTGGTGCAGAAGGATTTGGCTTCCCAAGCCCTGCCATGTGCAGAGACCGAGCTGCAGACAATTTGGGGTGGCTGACCGATCCCAATTCCCTGGGGTCTGCAGGACCTGGGCTGACATCCCCACGGGGCTTGGCAGGGTGGCGAGTGCCAGGGCTGCTGCGGCACCCCGACATCCTGGGCATGGGGCCCAACGGGGCCAGCTGTGCCCTGGAGAGCTGGGCTGCTCACTTAAGGTAAAAAAGGGAGGAAAATGGCAAAGTTAGAGCCAAGAAGCAGAAGTTTCTGCTTTGGACACGGCGTCACTCGAGGAGATGAGCAGTGGAGAAGCAAGTGGCCAAGCCGGCACCGTTCCCCTGTGCGCTGGGAGCTGTGTCCGTGGGGAAGGGGGGCTACTGAGGGGCTACCGGGGGCCAGATGGAGGTGCCAAAAAACTTCAAGATGGCCCAGAGGTGGGGTGGGGAGACTCGCCTCTCCCCACGAAGCTGCTCCTGGGGAGATCCTCCCCGTCGGCACCGCCGCGTGCAGCGAGACGCGGCAGCCTCGTTTACTCCGCGACTTCAGGGGGCCCGAGTTACCCGAGCACGAAATTTCTGAACGGAGCACACGGGGAAATTGCTTATTCACACTTGAATAACTTAAAAATGGCTGAGCAAATTTTGCTTAAACTTTCCCCGAGAACTCCCCTCGGAGCCAAGCCGCGCCTGGCAAATTTCAGCCCCAAAAGGGATTTAGTGCAGAAAAGGACGAGGAACTGGAGCTGGGGGGGAGAGCACGGGCGCAGGGAGGATGCTGGCTGTGACCCCCTCTCCCCATGTATGCTGTAATTAATGAGCTCCCATGGGGCTGGTGCCTTTGAGTGGCTTCTCCCCAGGGTGCAGGAGGGTGCTGTGGTCCCAGGTGGGGGCTGAGGATTTTGGGGCATGGCCCGCAGCGGGGCTGGCAGCTGGACGAGCCGAGGGTCCCTGATCTCCGCCTCTGCATCACAGCCGGAGGGTGCCGGCCTCAGGAGCAGCACTGGCAGGGCTCCTCTTGCTGCACAATAGGAAATAACTGTGGTGGCTGCGTGGAATTTGCTGGCGGAGGCTGGCTCTGCTGTGCCAGCCGCCCGAGTGACGCAACGACACCGCGCCGAGGACAGCGGTGCCGCGGTCCCCGGGTGCCAGGCACGCTGTCACCGCTGGCAGAGGCGCACCCGTGGGTGTGTGGAGAAGCCCGGGCATCTGCCAGCCCCGTGTCATCCCCGTGCCCGTGTCGCTGGCCCTCCTGTCCCTGCTGGCGTGGGCTGAACGAGGCCCCGGAGGTGCACGCGGGCTGGAGCTGCACGCCCTGCCCTGGTGCGCCCAACCGCCGGCACTCGCTTCATTTGCATGGAGCAACCTCAGCTCCGAGTTAATAAGGAGAAGGCGATTAGGGAACAATTATTCCTCTTTTCTCAGAAGATCTAAGGGGCACCAAATGAAAAGCGCCCGGCAGGAGTTTTAAAACAAACAGACGGGCGTACATTCCTCGCCACGCGGCCAGCCCGGGGAGGGCACCGCCAGGAGATAGCGTGGCTGCCAGGAGCGAGTGCGTGCTTGAAGGGGAGGCAGTAGGGGGGAGAAAACCCTGCCTGAGCCCCCCATAACTGGGAAGAGGGGGGCTGTGGGAAGCCGGGCTGAGAGCATCATCCCCGTTTTGGGGCCAGGTGATGCACAGTGTGGTGACACGAGCTGCGCTGGGGTCCCCTTTGCGCTGTTCCCATCACAGGTGGCACCTCCATGCGGCTGCCCCAGGGTTCCCACTGCCACCCCCAGCACCCCGGGGGGGCCCCGTTCCCAGGGCAGGGAGGGCCGCCCCGTGCCAGCTCGCCCAGCCGGCGTCTCCCGCCGGGTCAGGGCCGGCTCCAGCCTGTCTCCTTCCCAGGCTGCCTGGGTGCACTCGCCCCTCCGGGCGCTCCTCCCCGTGCCGTGCGGCGCTGCCCGCGGGGTGGATGGGGCGGGATGAGGTGCTATGGGGTGCTATGGGACACAATGGGGTGCTGTGGGGTGGGATGGGGCAGCTGGCACTGCTGGTGGCAGCCCGGTTTAGAGGCCGTCTCCCGCCGCTCCCCATCCCCACTTCAAAACCCTCTCCCGTCCCACCCACATCCACCACCCCGCACCTCTGGCAAGCTTCAGGATGCAGTTAAACACTTCAGCACTTAAAATTTCAGGTGCTAATTGCTTAGTAATGAAAACTTTAATCACAGGGCAATTAAAACCTTAAGTAGCTGTGGGAGATCCATTCCATGTCAACAAAGAAGAGCACTCGCTCTCCCTCACCGCCCCCAGCACCGGGGGCCAGCCGCCGGTCCCCAGCAGCCCCCACCCGGGCACCCCAAATTGCCCCCAGCCCACAGAGAGCAGGAGGTGGCCGAGGAACTTCCAGTCACCACCGTAAAAAAAAAAACCAACAACTTAAAACCCCATCTAATTTCGGATTAAGCGCCATATGAAAGGGTTTTGTTATTTTAAATCTCCTACTTTCCAAATTCCCAGGATTAAAATTCTCGGCGTTTATTTTAACCGCATACATTTGCAGACAAATCGCTGCTCCCCGCGCAAGGAGTTGGAAGCAGGCTTAGGAGGCGAAGCCCAGCCGCAAGCTCCGGGCGTTGGAATCGCTGCAAGCGCTCGCGAGCCCGCTTCGCCGGCACACGCTGGCGGCACAGCCCCGCCACATTTCCTGCACGGGGGAAAAGGGCTGAGCCCTCCAAGGGCTGGGAGCATCACGGGGAGGAAGGGGGGCTGCCAACCTGGCTCCGGAGCTGGGCGCCGTGCGGAGGATGAGCCCTTGGGAAGTCCCAGCAGGGTTGGTGCGTAATGGGGCCGCGCAGAGCAGTGGGGCGCACGCTGCGGGGTTCCCGGTGCCGCTGTCCCCTTCTGTATGGTGGTGCTGGGAAATGCTACAGCAGAAAAAAATAAATATTGTGTTGGTTCCCTGTGCCCCCTCCCTGCTGCTCTGCACACCAGGCGTGAAAGGGAAAGGAGCCACCAGGCCTTGTGTGGCTCCTCCAAGGCAGCACGGCACCGGGGGACCCAGGGGAGAAGGCTGCGGGGTGGGGGCCCAGCCCCAGCTGCCAGGGGGTGTGCGAAACGTGGGCGCCTGCGGGCAGCAGCGTGCCCCCCGCTATCAAACGCAGCATCAGCGTCTGGCAAATGTCACACCCAGCCGGGAGGTCGCTTCCC